AGTTAAAATCCTCTGCTTATTCCAAAATGGGATGAGCAAAAGATGATCGTTTTATGGTGTTTCCTTTTCTTACATCTTAAGCACTTGGGTGCCCACAGGGCAAACTATGAATCAAAGTTGTTTTTATTTAGAAACCTGCAATTCCTTAACTGAAAATGCTCAAAAGTTACACGCACAACTTTTAGACGTGCACATTTCATAAATGTAATCCCAGCACTTTGGGAGGTCGAGGCAGGAGGATCGCTTGAGCCCAGGGCTTTGCGACCAGCCTGGGCAACATAGGAAGACTCTATCTCCACAAAAAATAAAAAATTATCTGGGCATGGTGGTGTGTGCCTGTAGTCTCAGCTATTTGGGAAGCTGAGGCAGGAGGGTCACTTGAGCCCAGAAGTTTGAGGCTGCAGTGAGCCGCGACTGCACCACTGCACTCCAGCCTAGGTGAAAGAGTGACACCCTGTTTAAAATATAAAATAAAATACGTTTATACTATACGTAGTCACACAAAAATTACCTACCGGTCTGATCAGGAAGTCCAAGATACTGGGTGGCGAGCGCCATCTGGTGGCAGCATGGTTATTAACATCTCGGCCATTGGCTGGGATCTTGCAGTCATGGCTGACAACGTTAGTTTCTGAAGTCCCTGAAAAAAAAGGTGCAGGTGTGAAAGGAAGAAACAAAACTGCCTTTCTCGAATGCTAAAAGCACTGATTCTGGAGATAGAAGACTTTCAAAAGAGAACTAGAAAAAAGGAGGAAAGAAAACGTATCGGGAGGAAGGGCGGAAGAGGTCCTGAGATTGTGAGGAATGAAATGAAGACCCCATGGAGAAGCAGCCTAAACGACAGGAATGGCCCTTCTCAAATCTTCTCCATGCCGAGCCCTGGACCTCAAACCTAACAAGTTGTTCTTGTGCTTTTCAAACAGACCTCATATATTTGAATCAAGTGGCTGCCTCCAAAACTTTCCCACATATTTTCAGCATTTGCTACTGACCCCTCTACCAGATACCCTGTTCCCAGCACACAACCTCACCTCCTATATCACAAAGAAACCTGAGGGCCACCAACAGACGCATCCTCCAGTTCTGTCCTCTCTACATCAAAGCATGTTTCATGTCACCGACCTCATCATCATCTCACAAAACCCAGATTCTTTCCTCATAGAGCCTATCTGCATTCATTCTCATTCCAAGGAGAGGTGGCCCTTCCCTTCCTAAATTGCAAGTGCACCCACCGCTCCCCCTGGTTCATTCACTTTCCCTACTTGGGAAAGTGAACCTAACTTTGAATCGAAGTTTGTTTATATTTTATTTCCCTACTTGGGCAAGTGGCTCCATGAGGTTGACTCTGTTGCACACGTGACAACTCTTTTCCATCCTGCTGGCTTTTCCTCCTCGCCTGGACACACTCCTTTTAAAATTATCGTCCCTCCAAAGATGTTTGTTGCAGCATTGTTTGTAATTTAAAAAAAAAATGAGGATAAACACAAATGCCAACCAATAGGGGATTCATTAAGCAAAATGCTACATGCAGAACCATGTAGAACACAGCCATTCAAAAAAAGAACAAGACTGCATATCCAAACCAGAACGCTTGCTGGAAAAAAAAAATGATGCAGAATAGCACATATCATGTGAACTCAGTTTCTGAAAAGAATTCTGTACATAATTATATGCCAGTATATACACAGAAAAAATCTTGAACATATACCAAACCATTAATAATGGTTAACTCCAAGGAGTCGAATTTGGAGGGCTTTCATCTGATACAGTCTACATTCCTGTATTTGGATGTTTAGGACCATGTAATAACATTATAATCAGAATAAAAGTTATATACAAAAGAAACTTCCCTTAATTCTATCAACATCATCCTCTGTTTCTCTTTAATTTTCACCAACATCCATCCATCCATCCATTCATCCATCTATCCATCTATCCATCCATTCATCCATCCGTCCACCTATCCATCCATCCATCCTCATCCATTTTCAGCAACATCCATGTGTAAGACTGGGCTGGATGGATAGAACAGCCCTTGAGCTCAAAAGGCGTACAGTCTAGTGGAGAATGTAACATGGAGCCACCAAAATGTCATCCAGAGGAGAAAGTGGCAAGTACGACAAAGCTTTCGGTTCAGATCCAAGCTTTGCTGCTGAATTTGAGTAAAATGACTGAACCTTTATGAGCTGTTTCCTCCTCTGAAAATGGGGATTATAGTAACAAGCAGAGAGGATGGGAGTGGCGGGTGGGTAGAGTCTTAAGTAGGTGCCTGGTGCAGAGGACTCCATCCCATCCAGGCCACAGACCATCAGGAGCTACATAGGGACTTGGGGACAAAGAAGACAAGCAGCCCGTATCTGCTGGCAGGTCCTGACAGAGTGGACACGAAACCAACAAGTTGCATCCCAGAGGTTCCCACAAAGCCCCCAGGATTTGCAAAGCTAAGGTCAAGTGGAGGCAGGAAGAGACAGTTTCAGGAAGCACCTGTGGCCTATCTCACCTGTGTCTTCCCTGGCCAGGGACGGGCAGCCACTTAAAGGGGCCAAGGGAAGCCGCAGTGTGTCTCCCAAACATGGATGCACATCAGCTGTCCTCTCAGGACCTCTGCATCTCAATTTAAAACCAAGACAGGATCACATCAGATTTGTGTAAAGGATGCCTCTTATGCATTTCTTCATCCAAATCGTTGACTTAAAAGTGTCTTCCATATAAGTCCTTCCACTTTAGCTTTTTACAGATTTAGCATTGATTTCACAACAAACAATGGATTCCAGGCACTTGGTGTTTTCCCAGGCCTTGAGCTTTTCCCAGGGTTGTACATTATTTCCGTATGTGGTACTTCGCAGCAGCCCTAATATGGGGAAGTCATTTGCTGCCTTATGAATTCTCTGCTCATCATTGATTTGAGAGGAAAGGGCTGTGTCCAGGGCTGGGGAAGGCCCAAAGAGTGGCACTCCCGGTGTACTGTTGGCAACAGCGCAGGGATGTGTGAAGTCCGTAACAACAAGGGGAGTAATAATAATTCCAGCTCTCCTTAGGTGAGCACTCACTTTGTGCCAACTACTTTTCTAAGACTTCCACAAGTATGACCAATTTAATCCTCAAAGCCAGCAGCTGAGAAAGATACTAGTATTCTTATCCCCATTTGACAGATGAGAAAACTAAGGCTCAGAGAGGCTTGTCTGCTGGTGATTTGTGTGTCTGGGAAGTACATGTTGTCTGGCAGGCTTGCCCGGCAGAAGTGGTTAATGACAAGTCTTCTCCATTTGGGAATAAAGATCTGTGTCAGCATGGATGGCAAGGGGACAAGTAAGGAAAGACTGGTCTAGGAGATGCCCAGGAGCTTTTGGCCTTATGGGGCAGGGTGGGGAGAGCCACCAAGGACGAGTTTCTGGGCTTGGGCAGAAGCCGATCAATCATCTGGCCGGTTCCAAGCAGATGGAGCTTCTGCTTCTCAGTAACCTTCCTGCCCTCGTGTCAATTCCATTTTCATCTTTTATGGTACTGTTTGTGTGAAGAAAAGCAAAGGTTCATTTGGTGTAAGTAAATCACTCGTTTTTATGAGTTTGCTTGACATAGATGTGTATGCTTGACTGTAGGTGTGTATACACATATAAACATGCATATGTACATAACACTATATATAACATATATGCGTGATACACACACACACAAGCATGCTTTAAAAGACCAATTGACTGGTCTACAATTGGCTAATACTTGGTGGCCTAGAAGCCAGGGTATGTGAGTCTCACTTTTCTAGAAATGCTGAAAAACTCTCCAGTTCTGAGGAGCCTTGCTCAGTCAACCACTGGAAGTCATTTTTACTTCGTTGGGTTTTTTGTTTTGTTTTGAGACAAGGTCTTGCTCTGTCACCCAGGCTGGAGTGCAGTGGCACTATCATGGCTCACTGCAATCTCCGCCTCCTGGGCTCAAGCAATCCTCCCATCTCAGCCACCTGGGTAACTGGGACTACAGGTACACACCACCATGCTTGACTAATTTTTGTATTTTTTTAGAGATGAGGCTTTGCCATGTTGCCCAGGTTGGTCTCAAACCTCTGAGCACAAGTGATCCTCCTGCCTTGGCCCCTGCAAAGTGCTGGAATTACAGGCGTAAGCCATCACACTCTGTCCATTCTTACTTTATTTCCGAGCAAATATTTAGAGGGAAACCAAGAGACTGGGAGGTGGCTAGCGGAGGTCTTTGGGCTCCCAATCACAAAGGTTTCTGGTTCACCCATGCAGGCTCGGGCTGCACTCTCTGATGTCGTAGGAATCACATCTCAAACTGTGCACCAGGTCTTGAATTCCCTTAGGGTCTGATCTTCAGAGGTCTGTCTAGGCATACCCACAGAAGCCATTCTTTGACTGCCGGCTGGCTTTCCTTTATAACAAGGTGTTCCACAGTCCATTTATATATGGATGTCACCTCTGCCCACTTTGCTGCCAGTTTGGTTTTTCCCACTCCAAGGCAAGATGAAACATATCACATCCCATTGTGAAAGTCTGAAACTTTCACAACGGGATGTGATATGTTCACAGCCCGGTGGGCGGGAGACCCACACCTACCTGTGCTGTCTCAGAAACATGTGGAAGAAAGACAAAGCCATGCTCACATTATTCACCTACATCTGTGAATTATACAAGGAAGACGAGTTTCAGAAATCCTAAGTTCAGTACAAATTTATGGTAACCTTTTTTAGAAAAGAATACACTAAAGTTTTCTTAGTGAATGGAAAAATGTTCCCTTTTCCTCCCTTGCACACACAAATACAAAAAACTAACAAAAATTCACCCCATGTGTCTGACTTGGGTTGTATTTAAGCTGTTTTATAAACGACTTTTCCCCCAACTTCAGTTTCATAGTTTTAAAGCACAGTCAATAAATGATTTGGCAACAGCTAAGAAATCACAAGTTCCCTTCTTTTTACGTAAACTTCTGTAAAGCACACGCTAGGTTCTGCTGAGGGTAAATAGGCCCATTTCAGGAAGTTAGCCAGTTTCTCTTCTCGGCCACCTCCCACATAGAGGGTATCCATTCTGCGCTGCTGCAAATTGCAGAATGAAAAATTAGAAAGAACCACAGGAACATGGTAAGTCACTTATATTTCTTTAGCAAAGCTTTCCAACAGAATATGGGATTTCTGACCCAGAAATCTGGGTTGGCGGCAAATGGTGTGAACCAAGAAAGTAATAAATGGGCAAATAAGGATGAGAATTAAAGACTGAAACCACTCTAAATGGAGATCAAGCGGCTTGCTATGAACTTTACTTTGTGTGTATGTTAGTATAAAGAACTTAGAGAGTAAATTTTGAAAATCAAATGCAGTGATGATCTTACTAATTTGAACAGGAAAAGAAGACAATTCCAAGTTAGAAATTGAACTGGAAATATTACTTACTGGCCCCTACCAGAGACAGTTATCTCTTCCAGAACAACAGGATTGGAGGAGAAGGTGAGGGAAATATTTTTGCTTTGCTGTTTCTGTGGAAAAGAACAAACTGTCTTCCTTCACATACGTAGGTCAATTGCTAGAGCCTAGTGAAGCCTGGGCTTAACATAATAACATGCTACAATTTCTGTAATTATTATTTTACACTGTCTAGACATAGCAGGTGGTTCGTTTTTGTTGTTGTGAAGAACTGTCAGACTAAAAACAAACTTTACACTTCTTTTTAAATTACATATTTTCTAGAAAATTCAATGAGTTTTAAGAGCCATTGAAAAGTCTGACTGCAAGAGAGTCTCATCCAAAATGTTCCATATATTTTCCCCCAAAGTCCTTGGAGTCAATTTTGACAACAATTTAATGTACACTGAAGTTTTCTGAAGTGGTTTTTTTGTTGTTGTTGTTGTTGTTTTTTTTTTTTTTTTTTTTTTTTTTTTTGCTCTGTCACCCACGCTGGAGTGCAGTGGTGCAATCTCGGTTTACTACAACCTCTGCCTCCTGGGTTCAAGCGATTCTCCTGCCTCAGCCTCCCAAGTTGCTGGGGCTACAGGCGCATGCCACCATACCCAGCTAATTTTTGTATTTTTAGTAGAGACTGGGTTTCATCATGTTGGCTGGGCTGGCTGACCTCAGGTGATCCACCCGCCTCGGCCTCCCAAAGTGCTAGGATCAGAGGTGTGAGCCAACCGCGCCTGGCCTGAAGTTAATTTTTATATCCACCTAATGTTCATTATGGATCTTGAAGGTAAATTAATTCTGCACTAAAATTTTAAGATGCTTTACAAAATGACTCTAGGTGGCCCATATGGAATTGGGTCATCTGGATCAATGACACATATGGGATTGCAGTTGAAATTATCCAATTTCTACTTGTTATTTGTAAGCTGCTGTGATAGTCAGTATAACTGTACTATAGGACATTGGTAAACAGGTGGGGCCCGGTGGCTCACGCCTGTAATCTCAGCACTTTGGGACACCGAGGGTGGACACGTCACTTGAGGTCAGGAGGTCAAGACCAACCCAGCCAACATGGTGAAACCCCATCTCTATTAAAAATACAAACATTTAGCCAGGTGTGGTGGCATGCACCTGTAGTCCCAGCTACACAGGAGGCTGATGCAGGAGAATCACTTCAACCTGGGAGGCAGAGGTTGCAATGAGCAGAGATTGCGCCACTGCACTCCAGCCTTGGCAACAGAGCAAGACGCTGTTTCAAAAAATTAAAAAAAAAAAAAAAGGTAAATAGAATAATAATAAAATCAAATCAAACTTGCAAAAATGGCCACTTCGCTCCCATTGGTGGCCAATGGAGGTCAAGGACCTGGCTGACCTCCTGCCTAAGGGCAGAGGTTCTTAGCCTTGGCAATGGACTCAAATCACAGGGGGAGCTTTAAAAACTCCTGCTGCCCAGACTGAACCCCAGACCGATGAAACCGAAATCTCTGGATATGGGCCTTGGCATTTGTAGCTTTTAGAATTCCTAAGTACCTGCACTGTGCAGCCAAAGTTAAGAATAAGCAGTTTTTTGGTCCTTCTGTTAAAAAGCACAGTCCCATTTTTTTTTTAGGTGGCTAGGAGGGCTCCAGGAAGAGCTGGAATGTATTCACTAGCAATCTTGGTTTGGTTTTAGAAAGCAAAATAAAAGTTCTAAGTATGCTTTCTCTGAAAAGCTGAGGCTGCAGATAAGGGTGAGGGCAGTTGATGGAGTTCATTCTCCTCTTTCAATCACTGATTCTCATCCTTTCACTATAATAATCAAAGAACCTCTGAGTTTATGAGAGAGAGAGAAGTCTTATGGAAGACCCCAGACTTACAGAATATTAAGGTGTGTCTCACAGGAAAGGTCAGTCTTTGAAATGCAGTTGGACATTATTTGTAAGTGCATCTTAGTGTCACCTCCAGGATCCATTGAGGGAATGTCATTCCAATGGAACATTTCTGAGTTCAACTCGGTTATTAAATGGAGTTGAGGGATTTGTTATTTTTAAATCAGCATTCCCAATTTATGACTATTCAAGACTATAAGACAAGCCTGTCCAACCCTCGGCCCACGAGCTACATAAAGCCCAGGGCAGCTTTGAATATGGCCCAACACAAATTTGTAAACTTTCTTGAAACACTGTGAGAATTTTTTGCTATTCTTTTTTTTAGCCCATCAGCTATTGCTAGTGTTAGTGTATTTTATGTGTGGCCCAAGACAGATCTTCTTCTTCCAGTGTGGTCCAGAGAAACCAAAAGATTGGACACTCCTGCTATAAGACATAGTAATTTAAATGCATAACTTGTGGTTCTGTACTGGCATTAGCAGAGAACAGGTTGTGTTCATTTTGCGGACAGTTACAAAGAGCTGCTAGTTATTGCGTATATCTAAAATGGGTAGATTTCCTGTGCTTCTAAGGAATGACAGAGACTCTGGAAGTTCTCTGTGGTAGCCTGATCAGTGCAGAAAGGGAACGTGGAAAATCCACCACCAGCATTTGAGTCTTGGAGGTTCCACATAGGGCTGTGAGATCTCTGCTGATCACTGAAACCAGATCATGGCCAATTAGCCCCTTGGCTTCAGCCGTCCAAATTCATCTACTCGGGTAGAGCTGGGGTCACTTTCAACTCTACCACCTACCATCTGAGTGACCTGGAAAACATTTACCTCTCTGAGCCTCAGGTCCCATGTCTGTAAGGCAGGGGCCTCATGGACTTCACTGACTTTTTTGAGGATTAAAAAAACGCTCCCTACCCTATTTCCCAGCATCCAATAACCAACTTTTTCATATTTTTGTGTATGTTAAGTCAGGACTCATCTCTTCACTGTTAAGTGCACTTAATGTGGTCATGTTTTCTTTTGTCTTCCAAAGCTGTTAGTGAATCCACTGAATTTGGGATGGGTAAAATAAAGTATCTATGATTAATTGTAAATTTCACCTAAAGTGACAATTTTTACCTGCATAACCATTTCTTTATTTCCTTTCATCATGTATCAGTGGCCAACATTGTTAATTATGAATGAATCGGAATCCATTAAAAATTAGAGCTATTTTCAGTCTGGCAAAAATTCAACTCTGGTTGAATCCAAACATTCTGCTGAAACAGCTAAGTAATTGAATTGAGGAGATTTATTATATTTTATATCAACAAGTTCTCTTGACACTTCAGTGTTAAGGAACATCAGCAGAACCTATCCCAGGAGACCCTGAAAGAAGCCTTTGAAAAGGGAGAAGGAAGGAATCATCTTTGCAAAATAGCTCCTCCAGCATGGGAAAGGAGTCTAAAAATGTAAAAAGCTGTTTATTCCAGGCAGGCAGCTTTAGGCCCCTCCCAGACCACCTGCACTGCATACTATGTGGGATTTATTTTAGCCTCACCTAGAGGAGTCCCTACCTTTGTGCCCACACATCTGGTCTCTGCGTAGCTTGCAGCCTTCCCCTTCGGGTGAATTCTAGGTGTGGCCTCTCTGCTCATTGCAACACTCAGGGAGTGAGTTTTCAGTGAAGGCAGACTTTCTGAGCTGTTCTTCAAACTGCTCTGGTCTTTTAAAAATGTGTTTGGTGGCCATGAGTATCCAATTTCAGAAGGAAGATTTGGGTGAGGACAGAGGTTGTTTTTATTGTGCTGTCTGGTTCCTTCAGCATCTGCAGAAGAAAACTGGCAGGTCGTGTACTGTGGACTTAACCAAAGAACAGATGATTTATGGAAAATAGAAAAAATGCTGTGAAATCGCTTCCTCAGTACCAATAGCTGTACTTGGCAGAAAGAGGAGAAGTTGGGCAGATTTCTGTTTTTTTCGTGATTCGTAAGTTTTCTTTTTTCATGATTCATAAGTTTTCTTTAAAGAAGTAGATTTTGCCGGGCACGGTGGCTCAAGCCTGTAATCCCAGCACTTTGGGAGGCCGAGGTGGGTGGATCACGAGGTCGAGAGATCGAGACCATCCTGGTCAACATGGTGAAACCCCGTCTCTACTAAAAATACAAAAAAATTAGCTGGGCATGGTGGCGCGTGCCTGTAATCCCAGCTACTCAGGAGGCTGAGGCAGGAGAATCACCTGAACCCAGGAGGTGGAGGTTGCGGTGAGCCGAGATTGCGCCATTGCACTCCAGCCTGGGTAACAAGAGGGAAACTCCATCTCAAAAAAAAAAAAAAAAAAAGTAGATTTTGCTTTTCTCTGGGTGCTCCAAGGCAACCCCAGTGAAAGATCTGGACCACAAAGCCCCAGTCATCCTCATCAGGATGCTCATTTCAGTGAGCTCATGGGCGTGCCAGGCAAAGGGCTTTTTTTCTGGCAGCTTGAACTTGTCTCAGCAGGGGGTTTCACAGAACAACTGTCATTTACCTATTCTCTGCTCTTACTTGATTTGTTTCCCAGGACTACTGAAACAAAGTACCACAAACATGGTGGATAAAAACAGCAAAAATGTATTCTCTCACAGTTCCGGAAACCACAAGTCAGAAACTAACATGTTGTGGGCACGGCCGGTTCCTTCTTAAGGGGTTAGAAGGAAAAATCTGTTTCACGCCCTTCTCCCAGCTTCTGGTGGTAGCCAGCAATACTTCATTTTCTCTGGCTTATCGCTGCGTCTCTCTAGCCTTCGCCTCTCTCATGTGGATGGCCTTCTTTCCTATGTGTCTATTTCCAAATTCCCATTTTCTT